AATTCTGCTTTTGAAAGAATGGTCAGACCAAATTTAACTAAGTTAAGCAGGGAGGAGCCAAATCACTTTTTTAAAAAAACTGAGATGAGAACCTAACCAAAACAAAACGCCCTACATGAGAACTTGCTCGTATCACCAGGTGATGAGTAAAAACTGTACATTAAACCCTGTAAAGTATAGTTAAAAATTGGAGCTGCCCTAGAACTTGTAAAGGGTGGAAATTTTAATCTAGTTTTGAGTTGGTTTCGCCTTGGGTAACTAAATCTATCCCTCTCAAATTAGATTGCTATGGAGCTCTTGTTTGCGTCCAGGATTTGCATTTCAAGTAGGTACTTTTTCTCATGGAAAATTTTGCTAGGCACATGGTGGTCTCTCTCACAATGGTTTTCTCTGAATAGAACTCCCAAGCTCGGAAAAATCTCTTGAAGTTGAGATGGTAAGGGAGTGGATCCCCCTGCTGCGTTGAGAGTTCACCTCTATATCCAGCCAAACTCTCCATGCACAGGTAGGGAGCAAATACATTGGCAGGGTTCCCACTTTGTTTTGGGACTCAAAGGTTGGAACCATGAGAACCCTGCCAATGTATTTGCTTTTTATCAGTGCATGGGGAGTTTGACTAGATATAGAGGTGGACTCTTAGCATTGCATCAGAGATCCCCTCCATTACAGTCTTACAGATCTCTCTCCATTTGAGAGCTTTTTGAGCTTTGGGGTTCGTTTCAGAGAAAACCAGTGGAACCATGGTGTTTCTCGGGAAATTTTTTGTGAAAAAAAGTACTTAAAGCGCAAGTCCCTGAAGCATTGTAGAGGTCCATTGGGACCAGATTAATTTGCAGGTCTGTAAGTCCTAAGTAAGAAGTGTGAAACCGCTCTAAATGTTGCCTTTTTCAAACACTACTCATAGATTTTGTTCTCCTACTGCATTTTGTGAAACACAAGTAATTTGTGAAATATTTTGCTTATTCTTGCCATTTTGTTTAAGCAGGGTTCCTTAGCTTTGGAAAAAATTCTTTTTTTTTTTGGCTTAAGCAACCCTGCTCTTCTGTCTTAGTATTAATTAGCACATGAAAGTATTCTGTTTATTTGATCTTGAGTTAACTTAAAGTGTCTGATTTGTACTGCAACTTGACTGAAAGCAATTTCGATTGCATATTAACTTGTTCATAATGTTCGTGAGAGCCCAGGGTGTTCACAGCGTTGGAAAACCGAGTTTATTCCAAAATTCGGTGAGACTTTTCCTCTTACTAGATTTTTCTCTATTCAATGAGTTTCTGAAACCGATGGAATAAAAATTTCAAACCAGTTGCACTGGTCTCAGAATCGTTTTATAATGCTTGATTCTTGTCAATCAGCTGAAAATAATGAGATCCGTCCAAACAGCAACTTTCTACGTTCGATATTAACTGAGGTATCCTGCTTTAAAAAAAATCGGTTTATGACGTCATCCACTGCGGTAGTAACACCCTCGGTTTCTTCCACCCTGCTATCATCAGTCAGGGAAACACACATTGCTCAAGTTACTCAACAAGTAACTCAGATGAGCGCAAGGTGGAAGAAACTAAGGGTGTCACTACTGCGGTGGATGACACCTTGAACCGAATTTTTTATAGCGGGATGCCTCTGTTAATATTCAACGTAGAAAGTTGCTGTTTAGGCAGATCTCATTATTTTTAGCTAATCTTCAAGAATCAAGCATCAAAACACGATCCTGTAACCAGCGCAACTGACCCATTTGCAAAAGAAAAACTGAAAACTCCAAGATCAGTTTAATGATTATTGATAAACATTGACCCTTTCTTGATGCAGTCGATTCCTTATCGAAAGTGGCAGTAAACTTGGTGATTCTGGGGTTGGATAAATCTGTAGATATTTAAGAATCATTTTTCCAAAGCCTGCCAACACCTTGAAGGCTCTACTAAGTGCATTTTTTTCTTCTTTTTTTTTCGTATAAGTAAAATCTCCTTTTGTTTTTATTTGCATTGTGGAGAAGCAATAAATCGATGTGAAAATATTATCAAGGTGGGCCTCTGAGTCATGAGTCATTGAAGTAAAAGCAAATTCATACATATCCTAATCATCTTGTATCAGTCATTGCTACTTATATCTTACTCTTAAGTGAGTATAGAATGTTCAAATAGTACACATTTTCTTCACAGACAGATCAGTCCCTTTTTCTTTCCCTGGTTCCAGGAGGGCAATTTTTTTCTAGTGGGAAATATAGTTGCCGAGAAACAGCAAACCCAAAGGACTACTAGATAAGGTGCAAATTTAAGCATCATAATATATGTTTTCACATCAAATTTTTCGTAGAATATGGTTTATACTGGGCAAATTACTGAAAGTAATTTTTAATGAAGAAATTAACTTCTTCGATGCATGGATTGAAACTTCCTGTTCATGAAAAAACCATAATCTAGTTTAGTTAAATCGCACATTAAATGTTATTGCGACAGTCTATGCAGCATGAGAATATGACAACCTAAATATCAGTGCTTCAGCTCAGCTGTTGCTTGTTGTTTACACTTTAAACAAAACAGGATAGGCAAAGAACAGTGCTTATTGGAAAGCCTCCCAAAACTATTTTAGTCCGCAGTTTGATTCAAGTAGACTCTGGTTTTTCATATGTGGAGGATATTCAAATTTTTTGTAACAGATGCTAAATAAATATTTTAATATCATGGTTAGGAGTTAATTTCTGTGTCCAGATAATTTTCGTTGTGCAAGTGCTCTAGGTGACAATTTGAAGAAGATAACATATATCTGAATACTTTAATTCTTACCTTGTTTAGTAGTCTCTTGTCAATCTGGTTAGCATTGCCTTTTTTTATCTCCTCTCTTTTTGGTGGAGCATTTGAAGGGATACTTTTCATTGAGGTCTCAGCTCATTTTATCTCTTCCCCATGAGCAATCTAAATTTCCTTTTTTTTTTTTTTTTTTTGGTCTTTCAGGAAAAAATTATCCTTGTAGCTCAGTTGTATTTCTGATAAAAAAAAAACCAAATAATCTGTCTAGATCTGAAGGATACAAATCAATGTTATGTGACTGTTCAAAAAAGAAGCTACGTTTATAGCTGTCAGTGACTGTAGTTGACTGTTTTATTGAGGAATTAAAGCATACGGAATGTTTCTTTCTCACATAGCTGAAGGAGCAAAAAACACTTATCACCATTTTTCCTTTTTTTTCTTTCTTTAAATTTATAAAATAATGAGTTTTGAAAGAACTGAAATACATTTTGTAATCTGATCTTAATTTGTTAGTTTATAAAATGTCTTATTTTTACCTCCTTGATGTATCTAAATATATCAACTTTCATTTATTGTAACTGCATTTTTTCCGGTTTCTATCATTTCAATCAAAGCATTTTTTATTTCACCACTTCATTTTGTAATGACCCATCTAAAAGATAGTTTTGATAAAAAAAACTATGGGATACAGATTGCTCAATGTATCACCAGACAATGAACAAATTTAAGCATTGCGATAGATCTTTCCTTCTCAAAATTTCGCATAGAACACGATTTGCACCACTGAAATTTTTGAAAGCAACTCCCCATCAAGATTGAGGTGAGGCCTAATAAGATGATTCTGTTTCGTGTGGGCATAACTCTTAATAGATCATGATCATAAAAGCCGGGTTTTTGAATTAATGCATTAAACAACGTTAAAATATTGATTAGGAGTTACTTTGGTTCTATGTGAAATTTTGATGAGGAAACATTTGTTGTAGGTAATGCTTAAATTCGCACCTTGTCTGCAGTGGTCCATTCCTTTAGGCTGAATAGTGTAGGAAAAATAGTCTCTCATAAAAGAAATAAGACGCTATTTTTGCCCTCAAAGATTGGTCAAAACAATATATCTTTGAGATTGACCCTCAAAATTTTCATAATTTTGAACTGCCATCATTCTCTATTCTAAGCACCTAGTTACACCTACACACCAACATAGAAATACCCTCTTGGGTTTTGTAATTTTCAGTTGTGGTAGCAGCAGACAAATATTTCATCCTTAAGTATCTCTCTCGCTGTTATTATTCAAATGGTGTTTAGTTTAATCTTAATTTGGTGAACTTTAGTTCACAGGTTTTAAAGATGAAAATATATAGCAAAAGCAAAAGAGCAGTTTGCTTATTTGTACCAAAAAAGTATCTTCATCTAGCCCTCTTTGCACAATGAGGGACCCCCCCCCCCCCCCTCTTAAAAAAATAAATTTTAAGCTTATTCAGTTTCTCATTACCTACCTCTAGACTTAGATTCCTGTGGATAGAAAATGCCCCAATGCCCTGTATTCCCAGATTGTTTCCAGGCACATCTCATTAGTGCATTTGCCCTTGCCCCGATACTTAGGTACTCCTAATAGGACGTCATTTTGCAATTAGGAACTAAAATTTCTGGCTCAATCTAACAACAACGTTTATACCATTAGTTACCCTGTGGACATATGATGTAGGTACTTTCACGGATGAGCCAGAAATTGTAGATCCTAGTTGCAAAATGTAGTAGTCAGATTGGCCTTTCTCACTTTCCTCTTTGACCCTTTTTATAAGCGCTCTACTGATAATCCAGGCAGCAATCGCAATTTTCTTAAAGCCTCGGCTAAGGCATTGAAGACATAGTAAAAAGAATCTGCACTAAGCTGGTGGTATTAACACTGTTAATACCACCAAGTTAGTATCCATTCTTCTTTCAACAGCGCCCAACTGTTCTGATTTTACTGACTAAAATTGAATCACAGGAAGTAGGTACTCATGGACCAACGAAACATGTGAAGAGCTTTAAAATTGCATAGAATTTAACAGAAGGGAACCAAGTTGACTTCAGTTTCGAAAATTGTGCATTTTCATCCAAAAAAATGCCTAGCTTAACGAGTAGTTTTTTTCTGTTGAAGAATGATTGCTGCCGAAAGAAAAATTTTGAGTTTGAATTTCCCGCCCCACCGGTCTAAGCGTTGGGTGTCATGTGTCATCACGCACGGTATTCGCACTCGCACATGGTCTGCGTTCGTAAGGTTAGGTTAGGTTACAATTTAGTGAGTCTTGATGAAATTTTGAATTTGATTGATTTTATTTTACCAAAACATTTACTTATTTTTATTCTTTCCCGTGCTGCGAAAAAATATCACTGTCTCCACTTGGAATGTCAAATCGCTGGTTGTAGTGTTATAATGCAGAAAGCCACTTCAAGAAACTGGTGATCCGCCTTTCGGATGTTTATCCTCAGGTTCTTCAACACAGGAGCAAGCGATCACAATCGATCATGGTTTGCTATCTATCTCAGAAAGGCGGTGGTAGTCTGATCTCTCACAAACCTTGTTTTTCTTCAAACGCAAAGTAAGTTTTTTTTTTTTTTTTTGGATGAATTCATCTCCGATCATAGCTTGTTTCAAAGGGAAGAACATGTATTATCAAGAGCGGCCCTGAGCGCTCATGTTTTAGTGACTGCAAAGAATGAACAATGGCTTATAGCTATCAATGTATTCATTTGTAGAGTTACCCTTTAATTATTTCCAACAAGGAAATCTCTCTGCCGAGAGGGAACGCAATTCCCTTCCGCAAAACTCTACTTAAACGATGAGGGAAAAATATGCTGTGTTCACTGATAGCAAAATTCAATCAATATTATTATTCCCAGTTGAGGGCATTTAGTGATGCTGCTTGTCAGTTGATGTCAGCATCATGTTTTAGTATTTTGTAAGAATGTCCGCGATAGCAAGTAATTAACCTCTGAATTAGCTGGAAATCAGGAAATGAATCCAGGTGAAGCCATTTGTTTACTTTCATCTGTTACTTAGTGTCAGTTGACTAATTCATGTCTCTGCTTACGGCAACGGCGTTGCTCACAATGTTGCTGCAGATAATCCTCTGTCACTATTGGTCGGTTGCAAACGGAGAGTAAACAAGTGCCAACTTAGCTGATGCATGGAAGAAATAGCCTATGTCAACAAAAGCGAAAGCCACCACCATTTTTACGTCATTAAATCAAAACTGAGCCAATAAGTACTGTTTGCTTCTGCAGTATGTCAACGTCACTGAGAGGCTGAATAATAATGGATACAGAGGTTTTTAGGCATTTAAAAGGATTTCTTACACTTATTTACCATTAATGCGGAAGAGTACTGTATAGTTGACTAAAACTTTACATTTCGTCCCAATTTTATAATTGTAGGTTAGCCTCGAATAAGGTTTCAATAAGTACGATGATTGACCCACCCTGGGAAGAAAAATGTTAGCATTGGTTCTTTTGGAGCTTTCCCTTCTGTTGATATAGTCTATTTATTCTATGGCTGATGGCACCTCTAAAAGTAGGGTAGAAGCATACTTAGTATTTGAACTACTACTTACTACTACTTGAAAACCCTTTTGGATGACTATCAAGGCCAGTCAAAACAGCGTACTCTGAATGGACCACCAGCCAGTAAAGGAGGGGTATCGGTAAGGGCCATTTTTGTCCCTAGAGCACATCATCTAACTAAAACCAAACCAGGATTAACATGTGTCCTAAAGCCTCTTTGATAATATATCAAAAGCTTGTTTTAGACAAGACAATGTGCTTGGTGTCACAAATGCCTTGAAGTGATAGAAAAACATGCATCTTTTGCTAAAATGTGCCTACAGACCTATGTTCAGGCAACTGTCTAACTCGTATCCAGTGGCCTATGGACCAAATCATGATTATCTCCGTAAACTAGATTGAGTCAACTCGAAAACCCCGCGTAAATTTCCAGATCCTGGGGAGGGGGGGAGCTTTTATCGATACCCCGCCTTTATTTAATAATGATGACGATATTAAAATAATAAATAAAAAAAACAGCAACTAAGTAGTTCTAGTTGTAAAACTGTTATACCCTCAACAATTTTTTGTAATTGTTAAATTTATGTATTTTCTCTTTCTTTTTCAACTGTGAAACTATTTGTATCTACCCATCTAACTTGCTTAATTGCCATAAATAGCAACGAGACAGCCACCACACTAGCCCTTGGCTCATGGTAGCTGGATATGTAGTTCTTAAAAAATGTAAAATTTTTAATGAAACGTAAGTATCTAAATAATTAAATCTATACCTACTTAGTTTTTGTAAGTTACATTTGTTTGCTGTCTTTTGCAGATGTTTATATTATGGATGGGGATCAACTGTCAGAGAATATAATGCTGAAACTGGTGATTTGGTGAGAGAATTTCAACTAACTGACATAGTCCCGATCATTCCGGACAAAATAATTGGACTTTCACTCTATCCAGGGTCGAAAGATGAGTTAGTTTCTGTATCTGAGAAAGGTGAATTGATTGTTTGGAATTTGAGTTCACATCAATCAAGTCGATACACGGTAAGTTAAAATAACTGATATTTTATTTTTTTTTGGGTTGCAGAAAAAAAGGGTAAGAGAAAGGTGAGGTTGAGGAAGATATCTTGAGGTGAAGTTTCTGAAGAAAGATTATTCATTGTTTACATCAAAATGAAGTGGTAAAATTCTTTAAACAATTAAGAAATTTGAAATTCAATAGATTTTCTCATAATCTTGAAAAGTTGTGCCAGTATGGTCTCAACTTTAAGTTTTTCATTGAACGTTAGAGTTGATCTCGCAAAAAAACTAGTACATATGCATGAAGTTTCTCTTAATTGTTCAAGCAAGAACATCTAATTTAACACAAACTTTATTTCAAAACAATTATGTTAGCATCAGAGGTGCAGCAAATGCTTGATCACGCGCCCGGGCCTTGCCACATTTCCCAAAAAATTCCATTTTTCCAAGACTTTTCAAGTTTCTAAGTCTTAATCAAGTGATTACTTTCTTATTATAACCATCAGCAATGGGAGTCTGAGGGTTTTTAAATTTTTACTAACTTTAATGTATTTTAGTTTCCTCGTCAAAGAAGGGGTTGAAACTACCCCAAAACGCTCCAGACATTTTGTTTAGTTTGTTTTCTAGCCTTGGCTGTTTATTTTCGTTAATGAAATAAATTTGTTACATTACTTTCTAATACTATATTTTTTCAGAAATTACTTTTGAAGAAGAAGACTGATGTTGTAGTCCATTTTGTGATCGTTCCAAGCTGCACTGATTATTCTCGATCAGATATTTTTCTGACAATTACTGATCCCTGCAGCAGAGGGAAGAAAAAAGCTTATGTGGCGCAATTTTGCGAAGAGTCTGGGCAAGCCTTATGGACGACTTATTTAGGGTGAGATCTCTAAGCATGTTATTTTTGTGTATGTAGTATCTGATCTGGTTTCTCGTAGACTGATTTAGTGACCACTTCATTTGATGTCAAGTCATGGAATTACACTGTCTGATAAAAGCGCAGCCAAATGATCAAGTATTATTTCTTACTCTATTATGGCAACTAGGAGCTACTGTAAGAAAAGCAAAAAGTTAAGGTAGCCAAAGGGGGTATTTGTGTGCTCAAAAATCAGACATCATACATCACGGTCAACATGGTGGAAGGATCTTTAGTGGAAAAATACTCAGTAACACTGAGCTGTGTTGTTTACCGGAATGAGTTACTCTTCGAAAGCAAGGTTGTCCTTTCATGGTACTTACCCTTTCCATTACCAAGTTGGATTCTGTGTGGGCAATGTGTGCATGCTTCACAACAGATATTTAATGAAAGGGTGAAGAAACATAGTGGCAGAAGCAGTGCAGGGGTTTGGTACCCCCTTTGAAAACTTAAAGAATACCAATTTTTGTATGTTGGCTCAGTGTATTCTAGGTAAGACTCTAATTTAAAAAAATCATTCTTCTTTTGTTTCAGAACAAATTTTTCAACTAAAAGTATACATGTCGGAGGCACCAAAAATAATCAGTTTCTTGCTTCCATACAGCAAGAGCGTCTTTCTGTAGTTGATTGTAAAACAAAGCAGCAAGTAACGTAAGTTTTTTTCTCAACAAATCATCAATATTTTCTTAAATTAAAGTTTTTCATTGTCAGCCTTGACTCCCATAAAAATTACAAAATTCAAAACTAAGAAACTCGGGGCATTTATTGACCCTTTTCTATTCATTTTTAGACACAAGAAGTACATAGGCTGTCCAAAGAGTAATGCAATGATCAACTTTTAGAGTGAATGGAAAAAGCTAAAAAAAATCCGTGTACATATTCTTGTTGATGGAGCACAATCAAATAAATAGAGACCTTGTTGAGCTCTTTTGGTTTAAAAATTGACCGAGGTATGACGTTTCTTCCGCAGCATATTGAGAGACCGCCTCCAGGATTTTAGGGATACTTTTGGAGAAGAAAAGAACAAGCCAGCGAAAAATACTGCTTCTGTCTAAACAATCGTCCTTGTACACTTCTTTCATTTTTTATACATATCATTTAACAGCAATCCACCCTGAAAACAATAGTGGATGACGTAATGTTGTTATTTTCTCAACGTTTTGTTTGCACTCAACATTGGGAAAAAGATGAGCAAAATTAACCACGTGACAGACCAGCCGACTCGGTTGCAATTATTTTCTCACACATAATATGTTGCAACTGCCTCAGCAAGCAGTGTTGCCAAACCCTCCCTTCATATTACCAATTTTATCTCGAAGTGTATTTTGTAAAAGATCAAACTTAATGTTGACTTTTTAAGACTTCTTGCAGGGATAAGTACCCCTAAAGTCCAGAAGGCGGTCTCTCAACTTGCCGCGGGACAAACGTCTTATCTCTGTCAATTTTTGACCAAAATAGCTCAACGAGGTCTTTTTTTATCGGTTTTTACTCTGTATACACGAATATGTACATAGATTTTTTCTTTTAGCTTTCTGTTCGCTCTAATTGTCACTCGTTCTTTTCTTTTCAAAAAGTACCCCTAAAATTCCGGGGGCGGTCTCTCAACATGCCACGGGAGGAATGTCATATCTTGGTCAATTTTTTATCAAAAAAGCTCAACAAGGTCTCTATTTATTGGTTTTAACTCCGTCTACACGAATATCGGTATCGATTTTTTTAGCTTTTTCCGTTCGCTCTAAAAGTTGATCATTGCATTAATTTTTGGACAACATATGTATATATATTACTTTTTTCTGATTGACTTAAGGGCATCCTTTCTGAAATTAATGCATTTGTTTTAATATTATTACCTGATTTATTTTTTCGTCCTGGTTTTCTTAAATTTCTTCTATTCAAGTAGCAATGTACATTTCGGAACACCTTATTCCATCTTCAGGCCACACATATTTCACTAGCACTATAATCGGTGCGCGTTCGAGTTTCGAGAATACTTTAAAATGTTAAAAACTGAAAAATAAAAATAAAACTACACGTAGACTAAAATTGACTGAGAACTGTACGAGGCGCGACCGATTTATTGATAGATAGTGCTAGTGAAATATGTGTGGCCTAAAGATGGAATGAGGTGTTCCGAAATGTACATCGCTACTTGAATAGAAGAAATTTAAGATAACCAGGATGAAAAAATAAATCAGGTAATAACATTTATCAAACCTGGTAAAATGGAAAAATCAAATAACATTTGTTTTAAATTGTACGGCCCTCAAAATGTGCATCTCATTTTACTTTTAGTCATTTGATTGGGAGTGAAAGATACTTCACTTGCGTTGTTTGCCATCCCACCGAGCAGTGTATTGCTACAGGAGACAATACAGGGCGGATATTGTTGTGGCACAACATCTTCAAAAGGTATCCTGCGCAATCGGTGTATCATTGGCACACTCTTCCTGTTGTAGATGTGATATTTTCAGAAAATGGTAAGTGAGTAGGTAATCTTCGCTATCAAACCATTTCACACTTGTAATACCAGTCTTGATGAGGCAGAATCTGCTCTACTCAAGCAGAACCAGTTTTCCCAAAGGTGTCATTTGCAAACTGTGGACTTTGCTTGAAACCTTTTTTTGCAGGCATGGTCATTGGACCTCTAGAGAAGATACGAATTTAAACATTCCAGCGTCAGCTCTCCTTTCAAAATTTTGCATGGAATATAATTTGTACAGCGAAAATTACTGACTTTTACTCCCAACCTAGATATTTTTTAACATCTTCATTCAGCATTGATTACAAAAAATTTGAATATCCTCCTCACATGAAAAACCAGAGTCTGCTTGAATCAAGTTGCACACTACAACGATTTTGGCAGGCTTCTTAATGAACAGTGTTCTTTTCCCACCCTGTGTTGTTCAAAATCCGAACAAAGTGCAGTAGCCGAGCCAAGGTGCCAAGATTGAGGTTGTCATATTTTCATGCTGAAAAGACTGGAACATTCATGTTTAGCGTACGGCCAACACAAGTAGATTATGATTTTTTTCTAATGAGCAGGAAGTTGGAATCTCCGCTTAGAAAAAGATTAATAAACCCAGTTAGGAGTTACTTTCAGTAATTTTTGTTCTACAAATAATATTCCAAGTGAAATTTTGATGAGAAAACTTATCATAATACTTCAATGTGCACCACTTCTAATTGTCCATTCTGCTGTTTCTGCAGCTCAGTGAGCCATGCCAGAAAATTGTCTTATAGATGACCATACTAATAAACCTTTCTCCTCACTGAGTCGGCTCAACCAACTAATTTTTACTGCAATCTATTCTCTCTTTGAAAACTGCTTTACTTCTAATGACTCTGCACAAGAAGAAAGTCTCGCTACTGTAAGTGGACTGGATCAAAAATTTGATTTTTTTTTTTTTTTTTTGCTGAAATTTATTTATCAAACCATTTTTGCTCTTCTCAGGTTCTTCAAAGCATAAAACTTTTTTTCTTTTTGAGTCATTTTTTTGTAAATCCCAAGTTAGTATCTGTACGCTCTCTTCTGCTCCGTATAATCTTTTTGGCGTTACCATTTTTGCAGGGAGTCATTTGTACAGTGGAGGAGGTGAACATGTTTTAGTCAAGTGGAACGTCAGTGACTCTAACGTTAAACATTTTTTGCCGCGTTTACCAGCTCCCATCTCCCATGTTTCAGTTTCTGCAGAGAACACTTTTCTCAGTGTTTCAACAGATGACAATGGTATTTGTTTACTTCTTTTCTACTTCTAGATCAATCTTGCATCAAATATTTAAATCTTTGAGAAATACAAGCGTGCAATGAAGAAAATGAAGTCTAGATCTGAAAAACATTGATTTTTGCCCTCCTGATGATGAGGGCTTTAATATCTTTTAGAATTTGCCTGTATTTTTAATGCGTAAAAGAAAAAGAAAAAAGGGTAAATCGATGATTCATGAATTTATGGATTTTAAAAACAATTTTTTCGCAATTAGTGTACCCAGTGGAGAACCACTCTACTATTTTTTCAAATGATGACCTTTGAAAATCTTTTTAGCTTCAAAAAGTAACATTTTTCAGTAAAATAGGTTAGCCTAGTGTACCTTCCTTTATTGTTAGGTGTTGCTGCTTTAAACTTAATCCATAAAAATTGTTTGTTATTGTAATGAGCTCTCAGTGTCCTCTATCTAAGCGCTGTGTTTAATGTATACAGGCATTCATATTTTGGATTCCAAGTTTCATCGTGTTTCAATCATTCAAGGCTTATCTTGGAATATATCTCCTGTGCCGGGTATGTCAATTTTTCCAGCAGGATTGAATTATGACCCGCGAACTCAATCTTTAGTTGTCAACGGGAGATCTGGCCATCTCCAGTTCTATTCTCCACAACATTTCAAACTGCTGTTTCATGTAAGTATGTGCTATAAATTACTCTCTTAAAATTACAGGTTCAGTATCAAGAGATGGCTGACACTTAAGTAAAGCCCCCAGGTTCATCTTTCAAAAAGTGCCAGAATTAATTCGCTCGTGGCTCAGTCCAATTTTTATCCTATTATGCTCTCCAAAATTTTAAAGACATAAACTTGACAACAGCAAGAAGAAAGTTCTATTCCTTTCAGAGCTATTTCAATGGGGATTCAGGGGTGCAGATAATTTCACCAGCTAAACAACTGAATGTTATTGTCATTACAATGTCATTATGTGTCGTGAAATTGTTTCTAGATTGTAGATTTTAGTATAAAACAGCTTAGTCGGAGGAGCTATAGATTAGATCAAAGTTGTAAATATTCCAAGCAGATTTTTTCCAAAAATTTCCTAAAATGAATTCTTCAAGTTTTTAACATTGAACTTTTGTTTGAGGGTTGCCAGTCAAGGAAAACCTGGGAATGACAGGGAAAATGATGAAAGTGTCAGGGAAAAATTGTCCATCGCTATGACACTTGTTATCCAAATAAAAGCTCTTGTTTCCTCTCTCTCCACTCGGAATTCTCATTTTCTGCAATTTTTTGTGGCATCCTGTGAAGATCAAAGATGAATCCTGGCCACTAAATGAAACAATAATGTGTTAGAAATATTGCAAAAACTTCTCATCTCCATCAATGCATAGAATCTCACACTCAAGCCAAGGATGGACGAGTTTTTGAGTGTCTAATAAAAGGAGAGGGTTTTGTGGTTGGAAATCAGGGGAGCAGTAGGGAAACCCTGTTTTTTGTTTAACATTACTCATTTCCTCATTTGGGTTTTCAGTTAGACGTCACTATGATGAACGTAGTAAGTCAGCTGCGAGATGAAGTCATCTTCAATCCAGAAGTCACAGCCGTAGCATTCAGTTCTGATGGCTTATGGCTTGGCACAGTGCAACAGCAATATCATTCAAATGATTGCTCTGACTGTACGCTAAGGTTTTGGAATTATGATCTCGCCAAACAAGAGTAAGTATCAGTCAAATTTTGTTTTAGTATTTTGACCGACCTCAAGTCGTTCCCGAAAATTTCAGAGACAGCCTTCATATTCAGTCCAGATATTTCAATTTTTTTGCCGAAAAAATGATCTTTCATGAGAAAACCAGTAAATATACATCCTTCTTACTTTCAGGATGACTTTGTCATTCTGTCTGAAACTCCTACCAAAAAAAATGAAGCAAACTGGTCATCTGTTTTCTTCTAACAGAAAATTTTGTAAAATTTTTAGGGCTGTGCGAGCACTCAATATTTGAGCTTGGCTGGAAGGTTAGTTTCAAGCTTGAAGTTAAGTGGAAAGCTCAAATGGACGTATTTCTATCAAATGGAACTATGTGCATTATGATGTGAGCCCTGTTATGCACATATTCTTATGGGGAGGGGTTTGATACTTGCGTCCTTGCAGTTGCCATCAGCAAAGGTTTCATCATTTCTCTCCTCAAAAATGTTCAACTGGTGAAAAAGAATGTTCTTGTTACATATCTTCAGTTTATCCTTTTAACTCCTTGCCTGTTTGTTTGCAGGTACCTTTTGAACTCCTCCATAGAATTAGAAAATTTTGGTCTCATAAAGAAAATAAGCTTTCAGCCTTTGACTTCAAAGACGTCTCCTTCCTACCTTGCAGCTACTCTCGGCACTGATTGCAAGTTTCGAATTTGGACTTTAGCTGATGACAGCTCAATTTACAGTAAGTTTTCCTCAACTTCATTTCTTCAGACGGGCAGAAAGAAATATTTCACCCAGGAATCAATAAAAAAATTAGTGTGGTCTAGAAAACATGCCTTGTCACAAACAACTTGTTTGTCTGTCTTCATTCTCCTGAAGAGAAGGAAAGAAAGACAAGAGCTTATTTGATTTATTGGGTTGCATCAGCATACAAAACTTTTCTTTTGACTCGAGGAAACATTATTTTTTGTAGGGCTTGTAAAGTACAAGACTGAATACTCCTGCTCCACCACTCAGACTGAAGGGTTTCAAGAATTCTCATAATTGGTGCAATCTTGTGCAGGGAAGTATGGCTTTTCTTTTTCTTTTTCTGGAAACATTTCGATATTCTCATCCATCTGAACATATAATTTCAGAGGAAAAGCAAGCATGGCATTGTGAAAGTATCGGATATTATCATGATTTATCCGCTCAAGACATGAGTTTCTCAAGTGATGGATCATTACTCGCTGTCGCTTTTGGACCCAGTCTCACACTGTGGGATGTGGACACAAACATCATGAAATCAAGTTTGACGTACTCAAAGGATCATCTAAGGTAAGTTGTACCTCCAGTTACAGTAAGTTACGTTCCTTGTATATTTAATCATGCTCTGCGATTTTTAATACTTGATTACTTTTATCAGAGCCAGTTGAATTGGGAGAGAATATGGCTGTAACATAAGCTTTTTCTCTTTTGATTCATTTCTGGAGAGTATGATGCTAATTAGAAGACCTGTGTTTTTACATCATTTTTGGCCGCCTTTGCGATCGTTTCGACCCCCCACTCGATACAATAACCGAGTCCCTTAGTTCCTTACCGAAAAGTGACTACCGCAAACTTCTGAGATTTTCCAAAGCGTGTAAAAAGTTTACTAATCCGCCAATAATTATGATTTAAAGACAATAGCTCCTTAGCTCCCAGCGAGGCGGCGGCCGGCCGCCGGGACCCTAATTACTTTCGCTTGATTAACCATTTCACCGTCTCGCTAGGGTTCGTCCAGTTTTAAAAAAAATTGTTTCGCGCGTACGTAGCAATTTTTTCCTTTCTCTCCATTTAAACACGAATTAAAAGAGGTCTCATTCATAAAATTTCTCATGATGTTGCCGCGGACTTCTGACTGTGTGCACACATGGTTTCTGTTCAGCATATCGATACAGAAGTATATTTTCAGGTAGAATCTAATTTTCACGTCAATGAGTCGACATATTCCGACTTTTTTGACTTTATACGGAAAATTGATGGTTTTTCAGGATTGACTTTACTTATTATTGTTTCATGAAAAATAAATGCACCCAAAATGATTTTGCATATTGACTTTTACATTTATGCACTCACGAAATTGATTTGTAAATTCAATGAGTGGGTACATCGACCTGGTATATCAAGTTTCTGCGATTTTTTACGGCAAATCGGTAGATTTTCTGTATGTAGATTGTTTTCTTTCAATTCATAAATGAATGAAGCATGGACATGGTTGAACATCTTTGCATGGAAAGACGTTTAAAATAACAAAATTAAGATATATTTAATGCAATTGCATTTATATCGAGCCAATTTATTTTCAATAATAAAACGGGATTTATACTACCGGTGATTTGGGGTGAGCCCCAAAATACTTTTAAATCGACTTTATCTTTCAGGATTTCGACGGAAAATTTCCCTTCTTAGCTTAAATTACTCCGTAGTTTTTTTCTTCAAGAATCGGATAAGATTTTGGTTGAGGCAGATCAAAAAACTCGTTTGAATGGCTTTCTACATTCACAATACACGGTCTTGTCAAGGTGCGTCGTTGACCTCGCAGTGTTGGATCGTGAATTCTCTTGTTGTGCTGCTTGCCTATTTTGAAATCTCTGTAAATGAAAACTAAAGGGGTTGATATGTGTGAGTTAATGACGCGCCTTATCAACACATTGTGTTGAAGAGACAAAAAGAGTTTGTAGGTTTGATGAGGTATTTTTCCAAAAATATTGAAAACTCGCGAGCTCTTCGCCATAAATTCACAAAATTTTATAGATAACTATCTGCCTAGGCATTTGACAAAATGCCCGATTTCACTATTTGCCTGCGACAGATGTACTCACTATAATTTTTTTGTGATGGAGTATTTCTTCCTTTAAGGTCTCCTGTGGTGCTACATTGCAGTTTTCATGGTGGACAATGTGTTTTCTGAGTTAGATCAATATTATGTGGAATCATACTTATAATTATTGTTTCAAAATTATGAAAACGGAAAACGGCTAAAAGTAAACATGAAAAATAAGTGGAAATGCTTTGAAAATAACTTTCTCAGCTGTAAATTGGTTAAAATAAGAAAATACACGCGTAAAGCACTAATCACTTCCTTATTTTAAATATTTTTTCAGAAATGACTGAAAGGGAGAAGAGGAGAATGCAACCTCTCTTCTATAACGTTACTGAACAGTGGAGCGACTATAATTTTTGCCGTTAGAAGCAGCTTTTTGTGGTGTAAATGTGCTCATCCTCGATTTAAAAATGGAAAAAAAAAGAAAAAACTTATTTCAATGACATGCCAGAAAATAGCATTTTTTCCCTCGGCCTTCCTTACATTTTAAATCATAATGAAAATGTCTCTTGTCTCTATTTGTTGCAGTCGTGTGGAATTTGCTCACAATGAATGCAGCCATTTAATCATAGGAACAACCGAGTCACTGCTGATAGTCTGGGATTTACTGTCGCTTTCTGTTCTTTGGATGGTCCCTGTTAAGGTTTCTCTGTTGATAACAGATCCGTACTCCAATCATGCAACTGTTATCACCAAAAGAAATCACGGTAAGATTGAGTTTACTGCTTCCCATTAATTCATAAGGAGCAAAATGGCAGTGGACCACTAGATAAAGTGCGACTTTAAGCAATATGGTATATCGATTGCTGAAGTGTGAAGTGTTTCAAAACCTCCTGTATTTATTTTTCTTTTATGAAAAGAAACAAGTCAACTTTATCGTTTCAAATTTACACAGAATATTCTACCAACATAGAAGAAAAATCAATGAAATTTTCAAGAAATTGTGTTGACCAGTTTTCCACAGGGAAAAAAAAATGATTACTGGAAGTCTATAACGTCGTAAATTGAGGTGTGTGGTCTCGCACTTAAGCCATCGGTACTTGCTCTTATCAAATTTTCATGTAGAACTCAATTCGCTCAACAGAAATAATTAAAATCAACTCCTAAGTAAAATATTTCTTGTTTTACAATGCGTCAATTCTAACCTCTCGCTCATAAAAAAACAAAAGTCTTCGCAAGTCAAATCATGCACTAAACATCACCATAACAGTCTCTGCTGTATGAGAATATGGTAGGCAATCTCAATCTTCACGCTTTGCCTCAGCTGTTGCACGTTGTTAACACTTTGAACAACAGAAAGTGGAGAAAGATCATTGATCGATTGAGATGCCTGCCAAGACCATAGTAATGTGCAATTTGATTCAAGTAGACTATTGTTTTTCTTGTGAGCATGGAATACAAATTTCAATCAAAAACTCAGGCTCAATTCACGAAGTACCCTCAAATAATCGAATGAAGAAGAAGAAAAAACGAGTCAACTAACTCATTATAACTATATTTGTTTTTTGTCGCACCTACTACAAGTTCAGTTTAATGATCAGCCATTTCCTGTGTTTCAGTTTTTGTATTTGAAGTGACGTCTTCGACACCAGTTTACTACCAAGAAGATATTTGTGATAAAAATGAAACTGTACTATCAGCTCTACATTTGCCTTATTCAACTCATGAGGCTTTGGATAAGTCAACTCCTTCATGGCTACTTCATTCTCAGATATTTTTCCTGACATCTGGAAAGGTATTTCCTTTTCTAATTTTCTGCTGATATTCCATTATTGAAAAAGGGGGAGTACATTTAACCCAAAAAAAAAAAAAAAAAAAAAAAAAACTCCCTCTCTCAATTTAACACCATCATCTTATTTGAAATGTATTGATCAGAGTCAAGAGTCAAACCAAAAAATTAACAGGCCGATTCAACATCTTTGATGCAAAAAATGTTTGTGATGATTTCGGAATTTTGACAACCACCAGAATTGATCAAGCGTTGCATTTTGAGAAAAAAAAAAAAAAAAAAAAAAAAAAAAAAAAAAAAAAAAAAAAAAAATAATGGAGAGGAAAACCCCGATACTATTCCTTTGATTTAAAGACTTTTTACAACAATGATTTTCGCCTGTCCTGTCTAAATTTCTGAGATATATATTTATATATGTTAGCATTAAAGTATGTAATCCGTTAATGTATACATTAACTGAAACGGCCAGTTAAAGTGTAGAATTTTTGTGGGTTGCACACTCTAGCTAGTTATTCTATAGAATAACGGGCGGCTCACAGGTAAAGTTTGAAAGTCACAATTGAATCAAGTCAAATGATCAAAACAAAAACAAACGGCTATTCATGATGCACGAACTGAATGTCCGTTATAAAAACATTACTCAAGCCCAAGTTAAAATTTTTTAGACTTTAGTGAAACTTGTCAGGTTAAGAAGAACGTCATGAAAAGGGGCATTGTTGTAAAACCTATAATTTTTCCCCACGTAAATAGTCGCTGTCAATTAGATTTGATTGATTTGCAGTCGCATCCCGATGGTGAATTCAAATTTATTTTAAATTATCAAGACTATCTTTCTAAATTCGTCAGTTTGCGAGCTTTAAAGACAAAAACAGCAGATGAGGTTGCGTACAACTTGCTAGACATTTTCACGATTTTTGGAGTCCCAGCAGTATTACAGTCGGACAACGACCGGGAAATTTGCAATTCAGTGATAGAGTGTCCGAGGGAAATGTGGGCTGAATTAAAAATTGTGCACGGTAAACCGAGACATAGTCAGGGTCAAGGGAGTGTAGAGAGGGCAAATCAAGATGTCAAGAATATGGTCTTTGCATGGTGTAAAGACAACGGAACAACGAAATGGAGTCAAGGTCTGAGATTTGTCCAATTTGAAAAAACAGGGCCTTCCATTCGGGTATCAAAAGGAGCCCTTGTTTGGATGTCCTCTGAAAGTGAGGCTCAAAGATTCCTCCCTTTTTATTCTTTAACTGACACGTCCCAGTTAATCTATGAATTGACTAGTTATTCTATAAAATAACTAGTTAAAGTGTGTAATAAAAATCTAATTACACACTTTAACTGGTTGCTTCAGTTAATGTATACTTTAACTAGTTAATGTATACATTAACTGAATTACATACTTTAACGCTAACATATATATATATATATATATTACACACCAATTATATTTATTATTATTTTTATTTTATTCTTTTATTTTTTTTTTTTAATCACACCATTGCAACAAGGCTTTACTTTAGCTGATAGTTATTCGATTTCTGGTTACAATTAAAAATAATTTAAAACTTTGCAAATTTTTCAAGGAATTTAAGTGGTCAAAAATAATGCAAACAGTCACGGGGTTATCAATCCTGCGGACCCCAGCTGGTAGCCCCTGCCTTAAAAGGGGTAGTGGAGATGGTCACCTGCCTCTGGGTTTATGAACCACCCACTAAAAGGGCAAACAGAAAAAAAAAGAAAAAAAATGCATTGTTACAAATGAGCAACTCCATGCCATAGAGGGTTCATATTATTATAGAAGAACCTTGCAACGTCACTGAGAGATCAGTGGCTATTGATTTATTTTGATCAAACTTTGATTGGTTAATTTAAAGTTTATTTTATTTTTCTCCTTACGTTTTTTTGTTAGAAATTATTTGCCATTGAACGGTCAGGCGCGGAATCAGACTCGAGCAACATGCCGTCTATCCCAGAATCCTTCAACCTTCCGTTGACACCTTTCCAAGCCCTCGTTGCCACACTGAGTAAATCTGATGCCCAGAAAGCTCAACCTCTTCATCATGTACAGTTCGGCCAGCCGGCAGAAGCAGCTGTTCGCAAGGTAAGAGTTTACTTACTGTCCTTTTCATGTCAATACTTTGTCTATTCTGTACTCTTTGCTGGACCGGCATACATCGATTTTCTTTACTCCAGCTCATTTTTTTCTTTTACGCAATGTGTCCTATGGACAGAAGCAAGAGCTACAGCATTATCCGCCTGTGTAGCTTTAACGCGTCCACTACCACTGAGGTGGACTTCATCTGCTTGCCCATTGTAGGATCATTTTGGTCTCATTCTTGGAGGAGCTTGCCATCTCCAGGGCTGATTTTGGCCAGACTGTGCTTTTTTTTCATATATGTGAGTTTTTGGAGACAAAAATCATGTACCCTTCCGAACCCGTTATTATGTTATGCTTCGATGTGGTTGTCAAATCACCGTAAAACCTTGCCATAACTTTTGAAAGAATGGTCCTTCATTCAGTTTCTATAATAACTGGGGATGCAAAAGAGATAGGAAAGGGGAGTCATTAACTTTTTTCTCCTTTATGTAACATTTGTTTTTTCTTGGCGTTAGTTTATTGTTTAACTCTGACAGAAAAACTGATGGAAACTTGAAGTTTAGGTGTACAATTTTTCAATATAATCTGAATACTTAAACTAAATTACTGCTGCCCTAGTTCTAAAGATGTAGTAGGTATAACTTTAGACACCAACTGAATTAAAAAACATTTACTTCACTATATTTTTTAGATGTACTTAACCAGAGGTCTCTGGTACATCATAAGTACTGTGAATTGTGTGCCGCCATTTTTGACAATTTTCTCATCATCTTGAATTTTTCTCTCACCATACTTTTCGTCTGATTGCCCTAGCTCTGTTGAAATTGTCTTTGATTAAGAATAAGTAAATTTTAAGAATTTTCTGAAAAATTCACAGCTAATTAGAAAACTGCCAATGTGCACCTCAGTGCTTTAGTGCATTATGCTGAGATCATGGTTTGACATCAGATGGATTTGTAAAAGGTTTCCTCCATTTCCTCTGATGTAGTCAATATTTTGTTTTATTAAACAAACGCCAACTCCGACATCGTTTTATCAAGTCCAGTTTCCTGTAACGTAGGCAGTGCCATTGAGGAATTTGCCGCATGTTTTCCACTTCCTAGAACAAAAACAAAACATATTTTTATACCTTGCATTTATGTGTTCATAACACTGGCCGGTTTGCCAAAGTTTCAGTAACTGTTTGCACAGTTTTGAAACTAATTTTTTTGTATTACATCTAAAAAGGAAGAATCAATTTGTACTTCTACTATGACTAAGTTGGTGAGAGGTAAGAGGTTGATAAATGTCAAAGGTTAGCAATAACAACCCCTTCTCACCCTCTTTGCCGCATTGAGGAAAAATGCTGTATGTACATCCAGAAGTTGCAAAATTTTCCCTCATTCCACATTCATTTTAGAGGAAAATTATGTATACATATTTTCTTTGAAATTTTCAGATGCGGTAGGTTTAATTGCGAAAGAAACTCTTTGCAAACTCCAGTGGAAATATCCATAAGTTTCCTTAAAAATTCTTGTTTTATCGACAGAAATTTGGCAATGTCTAAAGGCTCATATGGCGTTTTTTCTTAGCAGGAGAGCGCTCTCACCAAGAATTGCAGCCATTTGTTTGGCTCCCATGAGATTCAATGGCGATACTCTCCCCTTAAAGATACACCAGGGTAGCACTAGAATGAACTCCCAGATTTTTAAAAGTGCAAATTTTGCACTTGTCTCATGGGGAAGTGGGGGATCGGCTAGCACGGACTCGATGTTAGAGCAGCATTTCCGGTCTGTCAATCGCCCAATATCCTTAATCTAATGTGGACACTGAAGTGAACCGGTTACAGCCAGATTTCAAATCCTTAAGTTTTTAAATAAGGTAACCAACTCGGAGCCGTCCTCCAATAGCGCGGTTTTGTGGCGACGGCCGGATACTTCCACGTCATCTCGAATTTTCTGATTTCTTTCCGTTTATTAGCGTTACCTGTGCGAGTTTCTACCCCAGAAACCACGTATAAGTTCCGTGAGTAAGTAATCGGGACCACTTATGAGTGTGTGCAAAGCCACATGAGTACGCAGATTCCGCTCAGCCAGGTCAATGCTGACGAAACCACAAAAACCCGCCGAATATCCTGAATTCTGACCGTCCATCGAAAAGGGAACTCAAGTTGGAGGAGGCAAAAGTTTCAATATTCTCAGCAATTTTTGTCGTGTATGCTCCACAACGAATCAGATCTCAAACTTTTAACGGACCACTCGCATAAATGGGTCAGTTGCGCTGGTCACAGAATTGTGTTTTCATGCCAGATTCTTGTAGATTAGCTAAAAATATTAAAATTTGTTCAATAATTATTGAACAGATTATAATCTGTTCAAAATATCAACGGAAATATAGTCATTTAAAAGTTCGGTTTTTGACGTCATCCACCGCGGTAGTGACACCCTTGGTTTCTTCCGTCCTGCTCTCATCCGCGTTTCACGTAGAGTAATCAGTGCTAATGTCTGTCTCAAAGACATAAAGGCGGATCGCCAGAAGAAAAAAAATGATGCAAATTCATGCAAACTCTTTGATTGGCAAGAGGATTGGCGGCGAAATCGGTACAAGTTTGAAATTCAAATATAGGGGACTGAATAAAATTGCGTAAAAAAAAAAGTATTCCAAGTTGATTTTTAATCGAATTCCATTACCCACTTATATTTTTTTAACTTAATTAACTTATTTTTGGTCCGTCATCGACCGATTATTCTCATTTGGGAGTAATAGTCATCTAGCGACAGAGCACAGGGAAGAATTTCATGAGCTACCCTGCGCCGTCCACAGCGCGCATGGCGCACGACCCGCCTTTCATTATTACACTTCATCCAGCGTTGAGAGTTCACCAATTACTTGACACGACCAGTGTGAAATTTTAAAAGTCGAAAATTAAAGAAAAACAAGAAGAAACAAGCAGTGAACTCCAACACAATGTGTTGATAAGGCGCGTCATTAACTCGCACATATCAACCCCTTTAGTTTTCATTTACAGAGATTTCAAAAAAGGCAAGCAGCACAACAAGAGAATTCACGATCCAACACTGCAAGGTCAACGACGCACCTTTACGAGACCGTGTATTGTGAATCTAGAAAGCTATTCGAACAAATTTAAGTTTTTTGATCTGCCTCAAGCAAAATCTTTTCAGATTCTTGAAGAAAAGTGCTACGGAAAAATTTAAGCGAAGAAAGGAAAAATTCTGTCGAACTCCTAGAAGATAAAGTCGATTTAAAGGTATTTTGGGGCTAAAATACCCAAATCACCGGTATTATAAATCCCGTTATATTATTGAAAAGAAATTGACTCGATATAAATGCAATTGTCTTAAATATGTCTTGATTTTGTTATTTTAAACGTCTTTTCATGCAAAGAAGCTCAACCATGTCCATGCTTTATTCATTCATGAATTGAAAGTAAGCAATCCACATCCCGAAAATCTACCGATTTGCCGTAAAAAATCGCAGAAACTTGATATACCAGGTCGATGTACCCACTCTTTGAATTTACCAATCAATTTAGTGAGTGCACGTATGTGAAAGTCAAAATGCTATAGTCATTTTGGGTGCATTCATTTTTCATGAAACAATTGTAAGTAATTTCAATCCCGAAAAACCATAAATTTTCCGTATAAAATAAAAAAAATCAAAATATGTCGACTCCCTGACGTGAAAATTAAATTCTACGTGTGAAAATACTTATGTATCGATATGCTGAACAGAATGCCCGCCTCTCCTCGTAATTTACAAACCGTTCCTATACTCATCTCAAAATTTTTCTCAGAGCTTTGTGTTATTATCAGCTTCCATTTAAACCCCGGTTTGATGGCCGAATCGGCTGCCCAAAAAGCAAGCCATTTTTGAAGGGCTCTATGAGAAATTCGTGATATTATCAGCTCTCAGGAAATCACCCCATGGGTAAAATTGCTGGTATAAATTTTCGAGTGCTTAAAATAATCGTATTCAAGAAACTAAGGCATTAAACTATGGAGTCAATTTCGTTTTAATAATATAACGGGATTTACTTGTCTTCAGGTCAAAACTCATACAAGAAAGCCCCTTGCAAGAGGCTAATTTTTTGTAATTTCACTCAATTTTTTCTCCTTTTTATAATTGAATTGCTTGTCACATTCTGAGGTCAATCATATTAAATTGTAATTTATACATTTCTTTTTTTCCCCCTTCATTTTATTTTTTGTTTGGAGAAGTTTTGTTGATTTCTTCGGATTTCGAATACTGTAACTTCTCTTCTATTTGGCCGATTTTTATGAATGAGACCTCTTTTAATTCGTGTTTTAACGGAAAGTAAGGAAAAAATTGCTAAAAACTCGCGAAACAATTTTTTTTTAAAATTGGACGAATCCTAGCGTGACGGTGAAATGGTTAATGAAGCGTAAGTAATTGGGCGAGGGGCTGAGGATCCCGGCCTCGCTTGGCGACCGTCATTAGCTATTGTTCGTCGAGACGCCGACGCAGTGATCAGGAGCGTGGGGAAGAGAGGGGTAAGTGGATTCCTGTATGAGCCACGTTTAGCTAATGGTCTAATGAGTCTCGAGGCTCATCACAGATTGCACTTACACAGATTGCACTATCATGAGTGGCGGTAGCCACCACCGGGCAAGTAACCTATCCTCCAACAATTGGCAACACAGCACAGCCCGGTCGAGGCAACGACACCATAGTTACACGAACTTGGCTTATTTGGGTTTTTCAGAGCACGGGTACCAACTTTTGAAAAGTATAACCGAGGTTACAGATCTGTCAAAGCAACGTTTTGAACAAAACGGAGGAGTTAGATTCTCATTCCGAGAGTGCCGACCTGCTCAGCCATCCTCGAATCAATTCGCTTGATTCTGCTTATATATGCATATTTTAAATCAGCGCGTCGCATTCTTAGGCTTTTTTTAAAAAAACCAAGTAACTTAGACTCTTGGTATTCACTGCACATAAACTAGCGACCCCCAGAATGAGAAACAACTTTAAATCATAATTAT